TGGTTGGCTGGCCAGCTGGCTGGCAGGCTAGCTGGCTGGCAGAAGCGGATGTCTGGCAGGTGGCAGCTGGCTGGCTGGCTAGCTGGCTGGTGGCTGGTTAGCAGGCTGGCGGCTGGCTAGCTGGCTGGTGGCAGGCTAGCTGGCGAGCTGGCTGGCAGCGGCTGGCTGGCTGGTGAGCTGGCTGGTGGCAGCGTGCTGATGGTGAGTGGGCTGCTGCTGCTGGTGGCGAGCTGGCTGGCGGCGAGCTGGCTGGCAGCAGCTGGCTGGCGATGAGTGGGCTGACGGCGAGCGCGAGCGCTGGCGAGCGGGCAGCAGCAGGCTAGCGGGCAGCAGCAGGCTGGCGGCTAGCTGGCTGGCGGCGAGCGCGAGCGCTGGCTGGCAGCGTGGCTGTGGCTGGTAGCGAGCTAGATGATGGCATCGCGCGGGCGGCAAGCAGGCTGGCAGCTGACGGCAGTGTGCTGGCGGGCGAGCTGACGGCAAGCAGGATGTTGGGTGGAGAATAGCCTTAGGTTCTTTTGCATAAACTAAGTCCTTGTGAACAGAGTGCTTGATCGCACAGCGAAAGTCTGAGTTGAACGCTTGTACTGGTATGTGAGAACAAGTGATTGATTATACGTGCTGCAATACCAGGACGGTTACAGTATGTGTCCTTGCTGTCGCACTGACTTCGACTCTTGTACTTCTGACTGCTGGGTTGCAAGGTCAACGCTATGTGACCCTTGCCCTTTCGCAACTTCCGTGAGATGTCGTCAACCTGCGTCAACCGTCAGAAGTACTATAGCAGGTTTGACTCGACAATCCTCGATGTTGCGGTTCTCGCGTATTTGATCAGCACACGAGACTCCTGACATGCTAAGTTGTTTCATTATTTCCAACACTCCCCTTCATTTCTAGAGGGTCGATGTGGCCGAGATTGCTAACGTGTTGAAGTCTAGTCAGCAGCTTGCAGTACTAGAACTTTGCCTTCGTCAGCTTCTTGGTCCGGTAGTTAGCTGCCATTTCGGAAGTGGGGCAGTAGGCTAGTTGGAGCCTGGTGGTGCAGCGAGGGTGAAGGGGCCGTCTCCATCTGGTAAAGCTGATGAGACACTCGGATAAGGTCGTTGGTAGCGATGGTGACATACATCTCTTTCGCCTCAGAGCTACGCCACCTGCCAAAACGTTTGAACAGGGGCTCCTGGATGCCGGTGTTTGCAGCCATCGTGGCCGCCACCTTTCAGAAGGAGTGAGTACCTAGGTGCTGATCACTTAGGCCGATCTTTGCGAGCACCCCCTTGCACGAGTTGGATACTGTCGTATACGAAAGAGCTTAGTTGTTCGGAGATGCCTTGGCGTGGCGACCGAATACACGGATCAATGAGCGTGGGTATCAAACATATGTGAATATGTTACAATAGGCTAGATAGGTGCGTACTCTTAGAGAGTACAACCCCGTAGCACAAAAGTACCGTGCATCTCACGTTCTAGTCAATTCGCTACTTTGATATGGTATCACGCTAGGTTAGGTTCTCCCCGCCCACACGCGCTTCCCCCCTAGCCCTAGACCTAGTCGCCCGTAGCTAGCCGCCCGTCGCTAGCCGCCCGTCTCTAGCCGCCTGTAGCTAGCCCCCAGTCTCTAGCTGCTCGTAGCCGCCCGTCGCCTACCGCCCGCTGGCCCCGCGATTGCCAGCCCCGCACCTGCTGGCCCCGTGCTCGCCAGCCCCGTGCCTGCTGGCCCCGCGCCCGCCTACTTCGCGCCTGCTGGCCCCGCATTTGCCAGCCCCGCGCTCGCCAGCCCAGCGCCCATCGGCCCCGCACTCGCCAGCCCCGCGCCCACTAGCCCCACTTTCGACAGCCCCGCGCCCGCTGGTCCCACGTTCGCCAGCCCCGCGTCCGCCAGCCCCGTGCCCATTGGCACCGCGCTCGCCAGCCACGCGCCCGCTGGCCCCGCACCTGTTGGCCCCGCACCCGCTCGCCTCGCGCCCGCTGGCCCCGCTTTCGCCAGCCCCACGCCCACTGGCCCCGCGTTCGACACCCACTCGCCGCTGGCCCCGTGCACTCTGTCCCCGCGCTCCTCAGCCCCTGCGCTCACCAGCCCTGCGCCTGCCGGCCTCTGCGCCTCCTGGCCCCGCACCTTCTAGCCCCACAACTACTGGCCCTGCGCCGGCCAGCCCTGTGCCTGCTGGCCCCGCGCCCGCCCGTCCCCGCTCGCTGGCCCCGCGCCTGCCTGACTGGCCTTGTAGCTCTTGTTCCAGTGACTGGACTAGTAGTGCCGTCCTGGGTTACCCTAGTTTGTACTCCAACTGCCTGGTCTTCGGACCCTTGCCTTAGAGGTTGGACTAGTAGTGCCACTCTGAGATGCGTGTCTCTTCCCCCGCATTGCCCCTCATCTAGCCTAGGGGGTGAGTCAAACATATGTGTATATGTTACAATAGGCTAGATAGGTGCGTACTCTTAGAGAGTACAACCCGTTAGCACAAAACTACCTTGTATCTCACATTCTAGTCACTTCGCTACTTTGATACTGGGCTGAGGGGCCCGTAGTTGGCCAGTTGCATAAAGCACTGGGTGCAGCGGACTGGACAATAAGGCCCAGGGTTTGCAGCCATGGGAACCCACACCCCGTGGCCTTCTTGGTCAGTCTTGGAGCGTGGGATCAGGATCCACATGACGTTGTCCTCGAATCGGATGTCCTCCTAGTTGATGGCGATGAGGTTCGAGTGGCGTAAGAATGCCGCATACATTAGCAAGGGAATGAGGTCCTTTTGGATTTCTGCAGGTTCGGTCGCTGACAAATAAGCCCTAGCCATGCTGTGGACCTGATGAAGAGAGACGGGTTCCTTGACCCGAGAGGGGCGGGGGCAGTGGCGTTGGGCATAGTCACGGACTTGGCGGGTGAACGGGCCTGCGGCGGGAAAGGAAGCGCCGATCATCTGATGTGCGAACGTAACTGCTGAGCATGTGAGCTGTACAGTGGACCACGTGGCTTGTTGTTGGATCTCATGCAGCAGGTGCAGTGCGAGGGTGGTGTCGGCAGCTGGCAAAAAGGCGAGGTTGAACCGTTCGCAAAATGCACGAAAAAAAGGGCGTCTCTATCCAAAAAAAAAAACTCTTGAAATGATACAAGCAGAGCATGAATGACGCCGGTAGGAAAACTGATACCACAGAAAGCAGATGTGTGAGAGCCTGCACTTAAGCACTCGCTACCGTGGGTGAGGCAAATGTGAGTGCGCACGAACTGTCCCCATTGGCCCGATCTGGGCTGCAGGAGGGACCACCACCAAGATGCGCCTCGCCATTCGGGGAGGATGAGTGTGACGACGGCTTGTGTGCGCATCACGAAGTAGAGGGTGGTTGGAAAAGGCAAACCGTGTTCTTGCGTCTAAGGAATGGTGAACGCGTCAACAATTGCGGCCGCCGGATGAGGCACTTTGGAGAAGAAACGAGACAGCTGCGTATTGTTGGCTTTCGCAAAGAGGTCGAGTGTATGTGGACCCAGGCGCCGCTCGAGGAGGCGAAACCATGGTTGCTTGAGGGATTAATCGTCATGATCTTGCATCTTCGAGAGTTCATCAGCGTGGGAGTTTGATTCCCGGGGAATCCATTCGACGGCAAGACGAGTTTCGTGCTACACGCAGAAGCGAATCAATGTTTGATATAAGCGGGTAAGCTCGGGGCAGCGCGATCCAACTTTCCGGGGAATGAAGAACACCCCTTGATTATCCACATGGACAAGGAGGTGCTGGCCGTGCAGATGGGACGCGAACGTTTATAGAGCCCACAGCACTCCTTCGAGCTCACGACGCGTGCTCGAGGTCCCACGCATCGAAGTGGGCATGCCGGTTGATGCCCCTATTATCGGGCCTAGAAGGGGCATAAGCATTGCCCCCCACCCATGAGAGCTGACATCCACGTGTAGGACTGCAGTATAGCAGTGACTTATGCGAAACAATGGCCCATTGAAATTGCCGAGCTCGGAGCGCCAGAATCGTAGCTCTTCCAAGGCGTCGGGGGAGAGCATCACCCGCCGATGCCAAGATGGGGCTTTGTTAGTGGTCGTGAGGAGCGCGTGGCTGAATGCCCGTGTTGTCGCCCTGAGAGCAAGGGATATCGAGGCAAGCATGCCCGTCGCTCGCGCCACCTAGCAAACTGGGACGCGTTGATGAGCCAGACCCGCTCCTTCAAGGGCGGACATAGTGGTTTCCAGTTGTATGCGTCGCTCTGCTCCAACGGAGAATGTGCAAGTGGCAATGTCTAACTCCAAGCCTAAAGCTGAGACTTCTTTTATTGATGACAAGACCCACGTGGCGCAGATCATCAACGACCAAGTGCGCCAGACTGGTAATCGCATCGGAAGAGAATGTCGTCCACGCAAGCTGCTTTATAAGTTGAGTAAAAACGAATGGGGTGGTCGCCAGGCCGAAAGGTAGAGATCGGAAATAGTAAGAGTTGCCCTCAAAGTGGAATTTGAGAAAACTCCAACATGTTGGATGGATGTCCACATGATGATATCCATATTTTAGACCCAGGGAGAACATCGAGTCACCGCGGCGCGCCAATTCCATGACGCGGTTGAGGCCTTCGTATTTGAACTTTGGGATCACCAGATGTTGGTTGACTCGGCGTAAATCCAAGATGAGTCGACACTTGTCTCGTTGTAGGACAACATTCAAAGGGCTGATGCATGACAAAGCCTCGGCCGAAGGCGGGTTCGAGGCAGCGCCTAACTTTATGAGATCTTGTACTGCTTCCCTTGGAAATTTGGTATATGTATAGGCCCCAGCATGGTTTGGCCCGTGAAATGGTTTGAGGGGAGCCTATAGCCTTTTGCGAGGACAGACAAGATCAAGCTGCTTGGACACCACAAAGCCCACCGTGGGAATGCGCGCTTGAGCCGACCGCGCATTATGGTGACTTCGGCGTCGGTAACTGCGTACTCCAAAGGGTCCTGATGGGGGTCTTCCCAAGAGCCTTGGATATCTACATTCGGCCACAAACCACGTGGGAAAATTGGGAACGGTAGCTGAGATCAAGAGCTACAACATATCCAAGTTTCGCGACATTCCAACCGCTAGTGTTTTGTCGACGTCGTTTCTTGTGAAGACGACTTTTCTGTCCAGAATTTCGGATTTATATTTTGAGTAATTCTAGCTCCTAAGTTCACCTAGACTCTGTCCTTTATCCTAACAAGTGGTATCAGAGCGATATTAAGGACATTGAGAGGAGTCTACAGAAGTGTGAAGACCCTTCTAGACCCACCATGGCCTGTGGGTGTGCCTAAGTGGTGTTCTAAAGGTTGGATGTGTCTTCCGCTAAGGGGAAACTCTGCCGAAATTTCGTGGACGCCGACACTTGTGAAAATATCGAGGGAGCTGAGTGTGGACAGCAAAGGGGAGCTGAAATTCGTCATTTCTCAAGGAGAAGATGAATGAGAGAGGAGGAGATGCTAATGGAAGAGGAGCTGTAGCTGAGAAGACAAGTGAGCCGCCGCCATCAAAAGTTGAAGCTTTGGATGGCTCCAACTATGAGGAATGGAGCGGACGGATGAGGAGTGCCTTCAAACGCTACAAGCTCCTGAAGATTGCTGTTGGGGAAGAGAAGATGCCGGAAGAAGGCGAAGCACGTGAACGGTGGATTGAGAAAAGCGCGGTGCTTTTCGACCTCATTCTTCAATCGGTCAACAAGGAGATGTTCGAGCACATCAAGGATCTTGTGGAAGCGGATGATTCGGGTCCAAGGGCGTGGAAACTACTACGTGATGTGGTTCAGCCCAACACTCTCCCGATGGTGATCGTGCTCGAGAAGGAACTTGCTGCCATCTCCATGCGACCAGGGGACGATGTGAAGCCGGTCCTTGACAAGATCAAGGACACCTATGCAAGGATGGCAGCAGCGGGCAGCAGTGTATCTCAGCTGCAGCAGTGCACCAAGATCATCTCGGTGTTGGACAACTCTTGGGACAACCTCATCCCCACCCTCAACTCTCAGCAAGATCAATGGACACCTGAGTGGCTAAGGCAGCAGATTCTGCAGGAGGACTTCCGCAGACGCCATGTGGGAGGCGGTGCTGCCACTAAGACTGCTGAGGGGTATGGAGCTGCAGGGCGCAGCAGAGGAAGAGGGGGTTGGAAAGGCCGAGGCCGTGGGAGGAGCTTTGGCAGAGGTAGAGGCCGAGGTGACTATAATGAGGGGCATGGGAGCTCTAGTGGCAGGGGGAGTACCAGAATGGAGGGCACGTGCTGGTACTGCAAGAAGATAGGGCATCCTTGGTTCAAGTGCTTCAGCAGGCCGGAGGGATGGGCACCTCCAGGCATGAAGCCACCCAGTGGTGAACGCGCACAAGGTGGCGCTGTGCAAGGCTCAGGTGCACAAGGTGAAGGTGCACAAGGTAATGCCTATCCTGGTTTGTTTCTTATGGTTCAGGATGTGCATGGGCATGAGGGTGATGTGGGATCTGTGGGAAAGGTTGTGATGCACCCTCTCACGCACTGGGTGATTGATTCGGGTTGCACCAGTCACATGACTCCACGGGCAGATTTGCTTGATGAGGTAAAACCCCCTGGGAAGATTAAGTATGTGGCAGCAGCGTCAGGTGCTTTGCTCCCCGTGATTGGTGTTGGGAATGCCAAGGTTAAGGGAGCTAATGGGGAGCTTGTGGGGCTTGGGAATGTTCTGCTGGTTAAAGGCTTGTCTGCTAACCTTCTCTCTGTGCGGCGACTGCAGAAGAGTAAGGCCGAAGTGACCTTTGGACCAACCAGCTGCCGTGCTAAGCTTGGGAAGAAGGTGCTGTGGAGTCTGGAAGAGGAGACCAGCTGCATCAAGGACCTGTGGCAGCTGCCCATCATCCCTTGGAATGGGAAGACTCCAACAGCAGCAACGGCAGCAGTGGCAAAGGCAACAGCAGGAGGAGATGCAACTGCACCAACTGATGGGGTGCTGGAAGCAGTCAAGAAAGTGCAGAAGCAGCAGACACATGGTGAGGTGCTTGCTGGTGTGGATGCGAGTGCGGCATGGGCTAAGGCTTCACCAAGGAGTGGAGAGGCCGATTGGGAGACATGGCATGAGAGGCTGTGTCATGTGAACTTCCCTATGCTGCAGAAGTTGGTGAAGGATGGGAGCCTGAAGGGCTTGGAGGTGAAAGGGGGAGTGAAGGAGATTGGGAGCTGCCCTACATGCTTGGAGACCAAGTTCTCCAAGTTCCCCTTCAACAGCACTACAGGACCAGCCAAGACCCCACTTGCACTTGTGCATATGGATGTGGTGGGGCCCACAAGAGCCCCTTCCCTCTCAGGCAGCCGCTATTTCTTGACAATTGTGGATGACCACACTCGGGCAGTGTGGGTTTACCCTTTGAAGAGCAAGGGGGAGGTGGCAGCGGCTGTCCTTAAGGAGTGGATGCCTAGAGCTCAGAGGGAATGCGGACACAAGGTGAAGGTGATCCGCAGTGACAATGGTGGGGAGTTCATTGGAGCTGATTTTGAGGGGGAGTTGAAGAGGAAGGGGATCCAACATCAACTGACAGTGCCCTACAACCCGCAGCAGAATGGCGTGGCTGAGAGGTTCAACAGGACCCTGCAGGAGGGGGCACGCACTCTCCTTGGGCGTGCAGGGCTGCCTGATCCGTTTTGGGTGTCTGCACTGAGGCAGGTCGCCCTTGTGAAGAACAGGGTGCTGGCTACAGTTGGAGATAAGGAGTGGATCCCATATGTCAAGTGGTATGGGAGTGCTCCAGCTGTGAATATGCTGAGGGCATTTGGGTGCATGGTAGTGTTTCATGTGCCCAAGGAGAAAAGGGGGAAGTTGGAGGCTTCTGGAAGATGGGGTGTGCACTTGGGGATTGCAAAGGATCACAAGGGGTGGCTGCTATGGGACCTGACCACCCAGAAGTTGACAGTGTCAAGGGATGTGAAGTTTCTTGAGTCCCTGTACTACAAGGAATGGAAGCAGCAGCAACAGAAGCTTCCATCTACACCGCTCATTGTGGAGGCAGATGAGGTGCAGCAGCCTTCAAGACAGGTGGAGGTTGCAGTGTCAGAGGAGGAGATGTCTGGGGTGACTGAGGAAGGGGGAGCAGCTGAAGTAGAGCAGCAGCAGCAGCAGCAGCATGAGTCTCCACCTCGAGTTCCACACCCGCCTGAGCGTCCTAGGAGGGATGTGCGCCCTCCAGTGAGGCTGACCTATGGGGGAAGAGGCAAGCCGAATGTGGTGCAGGCTGGGAGTGTGGTTGAGCAGATTGAGGAAGATGAGATCGCTCACTGCTACTGGGCACCAATCCCTGAGCCCAAGACTCGAGAAGAGGCCTTGAATGGACCAAATGGGGAGAAGTGGAAGGCGAGTGAGGATGAGGAGTTCGGGTCCCTAATTGAGAACGAGACATGGGACCTGTGTGACTTGCCTCCTGGAAAGAAGGCAATCACTTCCAAGATGATCTACAGGCACAAGTATGGACCTGAAGGGGAGCTGACCCGCTACAAGTCTAGGCTTGTGGCACGGGGGTTTCAGCAGACAAAGGGGAAGGACTATGATGAGGTGTTTGCTCCTGTGGGGAAAGGAACAACACTGAGGGTGCTGTTGGCGATAGCTGCACTCCTGGGATGGAAGATTCGGCAGATGGATATTGTGACTGCCTTTCTGAATGGGATCATTATGGAGGAGGTGTACATGAAGCAGCCAGAGGGGCTGGATGACGGGAGCGGCAGGGTCTGCAGGCTGAAGAAGGCCATCTATGGCCTTAAGCAGGCGCCTCGTGCATGGTATCACAAGTTGGAGGAGGCGCTGTTGGCTGGGGGTTTCAAGAAGAGTGAGTGTGACCCCAGCCTGTTCCTGCTGCAGGAGAAGGATGAAATCCTCATGCTCTTGGTGTATGTGGATGATATCCTTCTCTTTTCTGCATCCACTGCTTTGCTGGACAGCGCAGAGCAGATGCTGGAGATGCAGTTCAAGTGCTCCAAGATGGGTGAGGTGAAGTACTACTTGGGGATGCACGTGGAGAGAGATGTGGAAAAGGGTGTGCTGAGGTTGCACCAGAGGAAGTACTGTGAGGGGCTGGCTGAGAAGTATGGGCTGCAAGATGGGGGAAAGCCAGCAACACCACTACCTTCAGGGTTTACTGTGGAGCCATGTGCTGATGAGGAGGTAGTGGGTGATAGTGACAGGAAGCTGTTTCATTCGATGGTTGGGTCGCTGAATTATGCTGCAAATCATACACGGCCTGACATTGCATTTGCTACATCACGATTGGCTAGTGTGGTCTCACGCCCTAGTCATGAGCAGCTGGAAGCGGCCAAGAGGTTGGTCCGCTATGTGAGCGCTACGGCATCAGTGGGATTGGAGTACAGTGGAGTGAGGCAGCGGTTGCAGAGAGGTGCTGCAGATGTGAAGAGTGGAGAGATGCTCTTGAGTTGCTATACTGACGCTAGCTTCAACTCAGTGAAAGCGGATGGCACCAGCATTGGGGGTTATGTGTGCTTGCTAGGAGGTGGTGCTGTGAGCTGGCGCAGCAAGAAGCAGAATGAGGTGGGATTGTCCTCATGTGAGACTGAGTACATGGCCTTACACCATGGGGCCAAGGAAGTAGTGTGGCTAAGGCGTTTGTTGGAGGAGTTGGGAGTTGGTCAGGAGAAGCCGACAGTTGTGTTTTGTGACAATGAGTCCGCTGTGAAGCTCGCCAAGAATGCTTGTCTGCATGGGCTGACAAAACACATAAGGCCTAAGTGGCATTGGGTGAGGAGAATCCTTGATAAGGAGGTGCGGCTGGAGATAGTGAAGACCCATCAGCAGGCAGCAGATATTTTCACTAAGCGTCTGGCGGAGGCGGATCATTGGAAGGGCATGAAGCTTGCTGGGATGAGTGTGCATTGAGTATGCATGCTTGAGATGTGGTATGGTCGATGATGGTTGGCAGCCAGAGGGGGAGATTGTTGTGTGATGTCATCATATGCTATCACATTCTGTCTGCCTCCCATCCCATGTTTTTTCAACTTGCATGTGTGGTTTGAATGTGCAAGCATTTGTGTGTGGTGTGTTCTGGAGTTTGGGAATGTGTTTTGTGTTATTCTGTCTGAGCAGGTATTTGTGATGATAGATCTTGAGAAGATCTTTCCGACGCAACAAGAATCGCTTCAATCGGAGCAAGAACGCGAAAGCTATGAAGATTCAAAGTTCATGAGCTTGCGTTACAATTGCGGCGGTTACAAAGTGAAGTTGTGGGGTGACTTTATATGGAGTTGGGACCTTTGGGGTTGGGGAAACTTGTCACTCTACTGTAACAGCTGCAAATTGGTTGGGAACAACCAAGCTAGGTTGGCAAGGGTGGCCAACTTGGATGGATTGGTTGGGAAGGGACAAAGGTCAAAGTTGAGGTTCCTATAGGGAGGGAATCTTTGTGCTTATGGGGTTTCCTTGGTTGGGGACTCTCTTGGGACCTTCCCTCTCGTCCCTCTCTTTCTATCCCAACCTTTCTCTTGCTCCTTCTAATTCCTTGTGAGATTCTTGAACTTTGATTGAACTCTTGAGATTGAGTTAAGTTCTCCTCCTACAGCTTACCCCCTAGTGCGTCGAAAGCCATAGCGTCGCGAATACTTCATCAATCAACGTGATTCAAATTGGGAACGGTAGCTGAGATCAAGAGCTACAACATATCCAAGTTTCGCGACATTCCAACCGCTAGTGTTTTGTCGACGTCGTTTCTTGTGAAGACGACTTTTCTGTCCAGAATTTCGGATTTATATTTTGAGTAATTCTAGCTCCTAAGTTCACCTAGACTCTGTCCTTTATCCTAACAATTAGCGAGCATGCTTTGGTTATCGGCTCTCTCTGCCCAAAAATGTCCAACCCGACGACCGTGTCCCGACCCGAAATATTCCTTTGACACTCACTTGCGGCCGTACATTATGGCGGGTTTAAACTCTCGCTCCCTTTCTCACACCATTGCTCTCTCGCTCTTGCTCTTTCTCACTCTCTCTCTCTCTCTCTCTCTCTCTCTCTCTCTCTCTCTCTCACTATCTCTCTCTCTCTCACACTCTCTCTCTCTTTCTCTCTCTCTCTCTCTCTCTCTCTCTCTCTCTCTCTCTCTCACTCTCTCTCTCTCTCTCTCTCTCTCTCTCTCTCTCTCTCTCTCTCTCTCTCTCTCTCTCTCTCCCTCTCTTTCTCTTGCTCTCACTCTCTCTCTCAATCCCTCTCTCTCTCCCTTTCTTTCTTGTTCTCTCTCTCTCTCTCTCTCTCTCTCTCTCTCTCTCTCTCTCTCTCTCTCTCTCTCTCTCTCTCTCTCTCTCTCTCTTTCTCTCTCTCTCTCTCTCTCTCTCTCTCTCTCTCCCTCTCTCTCTCTCTCTCTCTCTCTCTCTCTCTCTCTCTCTCTCCCCTCTCTCTCTCTCTCGCATGCGCTGTCTCTCCCTCTCTCTCTTTCTCTCTCGCCCTCTCTCTCTCTCTCTCTCTCTCTCTCCTCTCTCTCTCTCTCTCTCTCTCTCTCTCTCTCTCTCTCTCTCTCTCTCTCTCTCTCTCTCTCTCTCTCTCTCTCTCTGCGTCTCTCTCTCACTCTTTATTGTTCCCTGTCTATCTCCTTAGGTCCCTTGCTCACTTCTCCCTGTTTTTTGTGAAGAATTAAGTCGCGTCGACATGTAAATTCACCTATGATGCTGCGTCGCCCACATCAGGATTGGATGGGCAAGGGTCAGGCGCTAGCAATGTGCCCAAGCTGCCCACAGTGGAAGCAGGTGCCTTTGAAGCCCCTACTGCTGCAGGCAGCTGGAATGGTAGCCTTGGTAGTGAACGGGGCACTCTTCCTCGTGTTACCACGAGCGCCGCGAGCTTAGGGTCCAAGCGCTCGTTTGGCCGCCGCCACGTCGGCCGCTGCTTGCTTGAATGGGCGAGAAGTCAGAATGGACTTGGCCTGGTATAGCTGGTAGTGGTTGGCAGTGTCGAATCCAGCGGCGTCGGCCACCTGCAGCACCTCGAAGCATTTCATGATGAGCGCGTGGCCTTCGCCAGCTTGATGGGCAAACTGAACTTGAGAATTTGAAAATGAAAACGTGGGTG